TACAAATGGCTACATTGAACATTTTGATTAAACTTATTCACACACAAATAATAACGATAATAACAAGTTCAACCCCGCCCCCAACAGAAAACTATGGGGTACATGTTCTTAATGAAACCAGTTCCTTTCTTGGATCTTGAGCGTGAATTTCAAAGAGTTAGTGTTGGCCAATCAGAATAGGTCAGGATTTTCAGACGCGTACGATTATTCATCTCGTTCTGACCAGTCACGATAATTTTTCAGCCTAGGCCTGTATAGGTGCGAATTTCGGTCATGTTTTGAAGAAAAAGGCAATTGGTATTTGACAATTCTCTTTCCCAAAACTTCCAAACGCATGATGGGATGAAACTGTCGAAGAGATTTTATTCAGTATCACAGCATTGCTTATACAAAGTCAAAATCGAACATGGACAGGAATGGCCGTCATCAAAATACTGCGACACCAAGAATATCTCGATTGAGTTAGGTAAGCCTGCGCCTAACAAGACAAACAATTCTTAGGACAAAAAAAGTTACGGTATAGTCCGGCGCCTATAATCACCTCATTGCACGCAATATCCGGCTGGCGGCATCCGCATACAACAGGATAGAATATCCGAGCCATGGTCATTCAAAAATTACGGGGGCGTTGCGGTTCAAACTAAAAGAAAAAAACAAACCAAACAAACCATCAACAATTAAGTGTAAGTGCGATTGTCCCCCGTTTTCCGGTTTGTGCGTGTTACTACTAGGTTCCTTCATCATATTCCATCAAAGGTTGAAGTCCGGAAAAATCATCAAGACGTAAACATTAATTCTCGATGGGGTGGGTTTCGAGAATTCAGCAAAGTGGCTCTCGGCGTCTAGTTTGCACTTTAAAAACCGAGTCCTCTCCACTAAACCGAGAAGAAAGACTATTTAACGGGCCGGGTTAATTAAAAGCACATCGATGGGCGTAGCCTGACATCACTCACACGAAGGAATCCCCGAACAACCTGTTAGAGCATCAATGGGCAAAATCACATTCGCCTCCTTCCAATTCTACACAGACGCGAGAATCGGAATGGTTCACTGGTCATGAAGGGGTAATCTTTCAAAATGACTTTCAACTCGAAAGTTGTTTTTTGTGACCTCGCCAATTGGGCACAAAATTAAAACATGGTTCGGCCTCTGTGGCCAGAAATTGACAAAATTTCCACTGCGATCGAAACATTCCCTCACCCTCCATCAGTTACTACAGTATTAGCCAAAAGGGGAAAAAAACGGAGCTTAAAATTTCAGAAGGAATTGCACCGTGACCCACGTGCAGAGGGCAAGGGCACAAGCATGACTCTTAGGATGACCTACAATTGCAACTGGGCAATGTAACTCAGAAAAATGAAAGGAAACGGACAAGGTAAATAGTCGAGGACCTTGGCTCCTTATGATGTCTGGTTTTGTTTTCACTGAGAGGTGTTCGGGGTGCTGACGGCGATATCGCGGGTTGACGAGCAATCACTCTTGCGCCCTTGCCAACACCGCTCAAGTTGAAAAGTGAAAGGCGAACCCACCTAAACGGAGTGACACCCGTTAGCACCCCGAATAAAATAGCTACGGGGAGGGTGCGTCATATCACGCCAGATGGCTCTCTGGAACAAAACATACAAATGCCGTGAAAAGGATATGGACGATGGAAGAAAGTTGAACAGTGTATGTGGCTATTTTAAGCTTCCACACCTGAAACTTGTTTCCCATCCCATGAGCTGTTCGTTGAAGCTGCCAGACTTGAGGAGCAAAGAAATGTTCATGAAATTCACTGGAATACTGATTACTCTCATGGCATGAGCGGGTGTGATTGGACAGACGGTGTGTTTTATCTATAGCCATTATGGCTGTAGGTTGCTCGAAATTCGCTCTGATAAGACGTACATAAAGTTGTGAGGCGCCTAAGTGCACAAAACCAAAATTTTACCCTACCTAAATGAATCTAGCAGTGTTCTGAACATTATCCGGGAACATGACAAAAGTAAATGTGTGGACAGTGTCTTGGGGAGAGGGGTGAATTACCCCTTCTATTCCTCTCGTAAAGAACAGCCGCGACAGGTTCTAGTGAAAATTTTCCCCATGAAAATTATGGAAATTCTTCCTCGTGAAATCAGAACACAGAGCTGGAAGAATGCATTCAGGAATTGTGAAAAGTGACGGAGTGTCCACGAAGGAACCAAAAATCGTTGCAATGCCCTTTGCTATGAAAGCGCCTGTCTATAGTAATTGAAGGCGGTGGCAATTTCAAAGCTTTCTGTTTAAGCAGGTTGCATTTGCATTCAACTGAGGATTTATGTTATACTTCTGCCGTTTTTTAGGCGGCAGAATCAGCCATGAGCCGACGCAAAACTATAAAGAAAGTGTTAACACCCCTCCTCCGAAATTGAATTATACAGAAGGCAATTATTGATACTCGGCCCTAATCATCTTTAATTGAGGAATTTACAGTTGATTGCCAGGTGGCGACCCTGGACGATACCAGCTGCCCCTTGATGGGTGACACCTGGGGCGCAGAACAAAGACGATTGATTACTGTTTTTGTCCTTTCTTGCAGAAGTGACACTCCAAGTCGGCGAAACTTGAGATCTGTAAAGCAGGAGCCATTTTATTATTCGGGGGTTGAATGGTGAAACAGTATCCTTAGTGCTAATGTTGCAAGTCAAAATCTGAGCTTCTTAAACGAATAACAAATTATGTGTGATCGTAATGCCTTCCAGATTGTGTCACGCTTCGTCTCAGTTTCAGTACCAAGTTTTCACTGTCAATCTAAGTTAACTTCAGTTTTGTGTAGGCTACACCTACGATCTTGTAGATATTTCATACACTTTTTCTTTTGCCCTTCTCGCTGTTCAAAACATGTGGTAGACATTTATGGGTTCTGGAACAAATGCGATCGACGTGACGTGTGTAGTGTCCAAGCAGTTTCCTCCCCGAGCGGAAGAAATATGAAAAAAAAAATCAAAAGAGATAATACCCGACAACACCGGGCACGATTGGTGGGAGAACAGTTCCACTGATGTAAACAAAACACCTTTGGCTTACCGCAGGCAAGCCTGAAAATCATCCTGGAACTTGTTTTGTTGTCTACAGCCCACGGGATCACCAATTTCCGTATCCTACAAACAGACACTGATTGGCACAGATTGAGGTCTTGGGGACGTTGGTGAAAGCAAGACTGAGGTGAAGTGAATGAGGACAGAAACGAAGGGAAACTAACTGGGAGAATAAAAGGTGGTCATCTATAGTTTTGCATACTGCAAATAAATGGTATGGTCTTTCACGCGCCTAAAACTAAAAGGGGCTGATGTTAAATCGTGTTGAGGGCGCTGACTATGATGACGTTAGGGTACGTTTTAAATGATGATAGCGTTCATGATGATGCCAGTGGTGATCGTAGGCTAGGGGAACAGCAATGGTTGCTTCACCAGAGATGGTGATGTTGGTGAAGATGGTATGAAGGTGATGCTGACTGTCGATGTGGTAATGACAATGACGTCGGTGGCAACAATAGCATTGCTGACGTGGTCAGGATATCACGACACAGTGACGAGGACATCAGCGACGGTGACAGCGGTCAAGATGAGGGCGAGCATTAAACACGACAGTGCCTGTAATGTCAATGAAGTGTCCGTAGCGAAGGCAACGGTAACAGAGGAGCGGCGATCACAATTGTCTCACTTAGTTCTTGCAGGAATCCTTGATCGAGCCCAACCTTATTCCGCGCAACCCTGAAAAACACGTCATAAAAAACCACTTGTCACTTCACGATCGAAAGCAGATCACTTAACACTGAAAGCTTTCCATAGCTGGAAAGTTCATGGGCTGACCCGGTATGTGGAGCGCTGCAACACATATCCAACCCTGGGACGAGAATCCAGCCTCGGCTAGACTGTGTCTCAGACGGCCTAAGACGGAGGGAGGATCCCAGTGACGTCATTGTGACTCACAGCCGCGTCTACACAGACATGTCAGAAACCCTGATGAAACCCTCAAAATGACACTGGAGGGTACGCATAAAAAAAATTCGACATGAAGTCACGGTATTGGAATTAAGACAATCTAGCCATTTTGAATTCAACCTAACAGCTGTCAATATCGACGGGGCTGATACCGGGAGGGAGGGGGGTGTGAGGCACTATCGTGGGGTGATTCGCCCCAACCATTTCTGGGGAATCGTCCCTAGGTAGGCCGACCTTTCCCCGAATCTCAGTGCTCACACCCGACTTTGGTGGCACCCCCCCTAAAAAAAAGGGGGCAGAAAGCACCTTACGCCAAAAAAAAAAAATAAAACAAAAGAAGTTGTAACTGCATAAACGATTGGGGGTGCTATTTTTTTTTCCAATGTAAAAGTTGCCTAGCTTAACTTCACACCTGAGCAAGCCCATACAAAACCTACCCCCCCTCCAAATAAACATGCCACATCCTTCATGTATTTGGTTCTGCAATCACCATAATGTGGAGGGCCTGACAATGTTTAAAACACTGTGGAAAGACTGAATAACATAACTAGCCAATTAATCTAAAATAAGGCTTGCAAATAACTATGACCCTGCTTAACAGGAGAATGGGACTCTTAGGAGGTTTCTAAGCTAATAGACTGTTACCGTGAGGAGATCATCCAAAACAGTGGTGTCGTTCACTTAATCCTTGGACTAATCACTAATCATTGATTGGTAAGATGTATACTTCCCTGTAGACCACAGTTCAAATCAAGAAAGTTATTTGCTGGTATTATTATTAATAAAGAAATATGATCGCATAAATCTTTTCGTCGATCTCATGCAGTTTTCTGATCCAATAGATATAGTTTCCTGTTTTACAAAAGAACAAAGGCTGGTGAATACTTCAGAAACAGCAATCGGCCTCTGCTACACTGTGCCAGTGAAAACGGAGGAAAATGAAAGGCGCCGTTGTCTCACGTTTATTTTCAATTCTAGGAAAGTTTTGACTTGGGCTGCGTCTGACATCTCATAGTGAACGGTGAGTACTTGAACACGGGTGGATAGCGATACCGTACGTGCGAATGCATGGAATACACAAGACATCAGCTCGATCAGGCATTGGTTAATGAGCTATTGCGGCTCAGAACCCACTGTGCCGAACGACCGACCGACCGGATACACTCCTGATCAACTTGTCATTCTCCAAGTGACTCGGGCTGGGTACGGACGCTCATCACCGGCTCCCAAGCTGTGCCGCCATCACTAGTTCAAGGTGCACGCCTCATCGGTCTCCCTTCGTGAGACGCATTCCCAGTGGTATCGTTCAAACAAAGGCAGGCTTACCAAGGACGGGATTTGCACATATAAGCCGGCACGAATTAGGCGCCCGAACAAGAGACGTCTGTTTGCGTTGGGTGCATTGTCAAACAACAGAAGTCCCACAAGCAGGATTGCATTCTTGTGCTGAGCAGCGATTCAGAAAGTCATCTTCAGTACTTGTGTCCATTGTCAACTATTGATAATAGAAAACGGGCAACTTATACTAGCGCTGTCTCTTTTTTTTTTCTCCACCGACAGTGGAGAGATAACGTTAATGACTGGCGTTCGATTATTGTCTCGCAAGCCCTGGCAACGTGAAAGGCCTTAACTTGTACACAAAACCCGGGCGATTCGCCAATATTAAGTGCCTATTATCACCGGATCACGGGGATCAGCGCAAAAAGCTACCAGCTGCATCCACATTTGAGCGCTGTAGACGTAGACGCGGGATTTCACACAGCACTGACAAGTTGACTGGGCCTGGCCTGAGCTGAACGGGGAAGGGTTTTGTTCGTCCGGAGTAGCAAAGATGCATTTTTCGGCCTTTCTGCTGGTTGTGGGATTTTTTGCGTGTCTCTGCCAAGGGTAAGAATGTATTCCATATTATTACTTGTCATGCATTATTTCTAGGAGCAGAGATTAAAGTTTAAGAACTTGCCCTTAATTCTTAGAAAGTGTGGTATCGTTAGTTTCTTTCAACGGCGAGCGTCTTTTTTCGGCATGAAGGAATAACACCGGTCACATTTCGTGGCAGAGGATATCACTATTGATCCAAATGTGGCGTGTGGGCCGACTAGCAAAGATTTTAGGGCTTGTCCAACAAGTCCATCGGGGGAAATTACCTCGTCCCTAGCGGGTGTAATAGGACGGCACTGGCACGGTCTGATTTCCTCCAAGCAGAGGTGAAGTTATCTTGTCTGTTTTTATATAAATTCATACAAAAATTGTTCGTTTCTCCCGGGGATCCCGCGGGATGTGACCTGTCACCCGGCGCGGTTCGGAACACATGTTGCCTGAATTGAAATATGTAGAAATCAGTGTGCGGTGAGGATTTTCGTCGGGAAAAAAATTGGAAAATGTTGGACTTAAGGATCTGTAGGACGCCATCCGATTGGCCACAGCTGGACAATTCACATAGAAAACTGACCTCAAAGTTTCCCCTTGGCTATTGTACCGTTGCTTTCGGTGATGATGAATGGGACCGTCCATATTATTAATTCTGTGCATTGTTTATGAAGACGGATGGATATGCTTTTTGTGTTCATACTTGGAGTGACACTACGTTTGGGTTTTTTATTACATAGATGAAGGGGTTACGCTAGGGTCTACTTCAAATGTGTTTAGCAGGAGGTGCAGAAAGCGTTGGTTAACTTGCTTCAGCTTTTTTTTTTTTGCATGGACATTGCTACTTTCTGCACAAAATACTCTGTTAATTTATTTGACGTGTGGGAAAAGTGGCCTGATTTGAACGGATTCCTGACATATGTTATACTAATTTTGAAGTAATGTCGTATAGCGGTAATGAGAACGACCTTTTGGCGATTTTGCAAGCATGGGGTTGTTGCTACTGCACTGTTTACGTGTACTTCCACGACGGTTCGAGTGGTGTTGTCATCGCAATACAAACACGTTTCCCTGGAAGTGCTTGAAGTTGGCCCTAATAAGTTGTGAAGTCCGTAATCCTGCTCAGCACAGCCTATTGACTCTACCTGTATATAGACACCTGGGTTAATCCTAGATTCAACAAAAGAATGCGTTTCACTTCCGCGCATATAGCGCCAAGGTCTAGCCCCTGAACATCAATTTCCTTGGCAGTCGAGAGAGTTCTCGTAACCCCGCTCAATCAATCAAGCCATTTTTTTAAAAACTTGTTATTCCTATACACGTTATGATTTATTGCTCCGCGGAATGTCTCCTGGGTGATTTCAGTCAGTTTGCGCTGCTCGCTGTAAGCTTGCTGCGCTGCCGTTCCGCACACAAATAAACAGGACGCGATTGTTTGTTGTGGCGTATTTTATGGAAGGGATGGTGTATCTAATGCTAACAATTAGGCACTCCGGAGATAAAGGGACCGGCAACAACCACCCTCAAGCATGATGATGAACTTTCTGCCCCAAATCTGCAATTTTAAAATGACTAAAATGCTTGAGAAGATCGATGCAACCTTTTGCTCCTCAAATGCATTTTGTGGTTGGACAAGTTAGTCTCCAAATAAGTAAAAGGAATAGTTTAAGCAATGCTTTTTTAGCACAAACCGTGTTGTATTTGGCCCTCTAAAAGGTGGATTTTAGGATTTTTTTTATTTCAGGGGGTAATTGTCGAGCCTTTCATGCATTTTATGCTCGCGGTTATCAGCCAAAGATTTTTTATAGGTCCACCAATATTGCATCAGGTTTTATCATGGAGCGAGTAAATATTTACATCACATACATTTTATCGGATAAAAAAGAGCGCGATGAGGAGAAACGGGCAGTCGCGGCGGTGTGGTGTGGACAGAGGGAGAGTTTGCTTTACAGCCATGCGGAAGAAAACTGATGGGAACTCCTCAATGAACATGCAACTTCTCTCCGTGACCGTCACTACGTGGCGATCAGCCAATTGGAAGCGCGCAGTCACGGGCGCAGTGATTCGTCATGGGTGTAGTGCAGTAGTGCCGCCTCGTCAGGTCTGGGTGAAATGTAACATGTACATGTACAGTGTGTCTAAACTAATGTTCTGTTCATAGTGCGTGAAGTTCGGACATCCATTTCTTGCAGTATGGGATGGATACACGCTTGCGAACTTTCCTTGCCAAACTTTTAAATCGACATCAAAACATCGACATCATTGAAAACAGACGACTCTAAAAGCTAAGCTTGGTTTGTTTTTATTTGGTTTCGATAGGGGAGATGGCGGGGAATTGCTGATTGCAGATACATATTTTCAAATGACACTTGACATGCATGTTAAGACATGCCTACCGAGTACCAACTGTTAGTCAGCTGAGAAGTACATGTATACTTTTGTTACCTCTCATTTTCACCACAGTCCACGAACAACAAGTTTTCTTTTTCACTGCAGTGCTACTGTGGTAGTGAACAACTTCTTGTCTTTCTAAATCTAATAGAAACCCTGCTTGCAAAGTGTCTTTTGTGCTCAAGGGCTGCAGATGCGAATTTCATCAATCCGGTACCCAAATCTGTCCGAGTATGAGGCAAGAGGTCCTACAGGCGCAATGCTGAAACCGAAAATGGAAAATCATGTCATGAACAACTTTGCACTGAGTTGCCTCTATTTCATGTTCATGTATACAAAATTATTAGCGCGCTTCACTTGGACAGCTCTGACTTTATGTCTACATTGTGCGAGCAGCGGAATCACGCATTGTTTGCAGTAACGTAGACTCGTGTTCCGTTGTGAGTAGACTAGAAGTCAAAGAGTTCGCTTGTACTTTCACGACAGTTCCTTCCCTTTAAACTCTCATCCTTTTACTTTCTTTGATGTACCACTACAAATTATTGTCTACAGATACAGTCGAACACCCTTATAAAACGTTTGTTGAGACTGCACAACTCACCTTGACAGGGCCCTATCGGTATTGGAAAACAAAGATCATAGACCTTGGAACATGAATTTATCTTGTGAGCAGGATGTTGTGTCAGTAGTGCTCTTCTTGTCGGCTTTCCACTGCACTTTCAATAACCTCGTGAAGGTAAAGGTTTTTTTTAGCTGATTGATCTCCTGTGCCTCAGGTCGACCACCGTGGTTCATTGACCTTTCTTGAGTTGTTTCGGATGAAGCCTTTCAAGTCCGTGGATTTTGCCTTACTTCGAATTTTGTATGTATCATTGTATGGGATGGCAAGGATGGCTCGCGAACAATGCCTTTCCGATCCAAATCAGCATGGACACTGCAAGCCTTCCGGAACGAAAGCGCCTCCAATTTATTGATTTTCGTGTTGGGGACTTCTTGTCTCTTTTTTTGCCACTAGAGATTACGCCGTAGGTACAGTTCTGCAGTGGAGTCAAACAATTTGGCCACCCATACACGAAATTGTTTTGCTCTCAAAACCATTAACGTGGCAAAAGGGACATGACGTGATTTATGCAAAAAATTCCATACAAGTGTCGAATGTCATTCATGTAAGGACTAAGCTTTTTCGTGGACAACTTTGGGGCTTTTGATAGGTTATCGAGTGGAAAGTGTAAGTGAAAAAAGACCAAGATTCTTCCTGTGGGTTTGTTTAAAACAATGGACTGTAGTGACCCATAGGTGAATATTGGCCAAACAATCGAGATTTGGTTGTCGTTGTACATGGGTACTACCCAGTGGCGTAGCTAGGACTTTACTGGGGGGGCAAAGGGGGTACCAGCATCTTATGGGGGGCACTAATTTTCGTCAGTGTGGTTTTTGGGCAGTGTGGTTTTGGTTAGCCTTGTTCAATACCCATTCATCCGTTTTTTAGTGGGTGGGGGGCGCCGGGAATTTGCGGGGGAACGTGCCACCCCCCCCCCTTCCGTGGCTACGTCACTGGTAGTCCCCAGGGTCGACAGATTCAAATTGAGGATGACATCTTGTGTGGGTGAGGAACCCATCCTGTTTCTTAGGGAAGGCCGTGAATTTGACGGGTAGCCCTGCTTGGTTAGCGGTCTTTAGCCCTAGGTCAAACAGAGATCACACTAAAGACATTTGGTGATTTTGATAGCCAACTGTGCCATGTTATGACACATTACCCGAGTATGAATTTCTTTTAAAGCTGGCCATAAGCCGGGAGGCACACACATAGTACATGCACATCCATTCACGGCGCTCAGCTGATTTTAATGGCGGGGAGGGGTGTATGCAAAGTATCCCAGGAGCCCAGTGCACTTGGCAGAAGACATGGCCGAGCATGGAGGTAGGTAGATCGGGCTAGCAATAATGAAACCATAATACCGTTGCTGCTGATTTCGTAAAAAATTGAGGTAGAATCGACAACGTTGTCATTTTAATGTGATTGCAAAATTGATTTGGAGGTATCCAAAGGATATCAAACCCTGTACTCCCAGTTGCTGATGTTTTGAGCCCTTGCGCGAGATTCTTCCCTGTTAAATACATCGCGGTGCAGACGTGGATTCTTGTCACAGCTAGCTCCGTAGTGAAACTTCGTGCAACATGTTTTTTTCACGCAAATTGTAAGTTTTGATCGAGCTTTTGTGAGTGTGGTCAATTTCATACGGTATGGTTCTATCAGCAACAGCAATAACCAAAGGCGTGCCCCACATTTTTATTGCCAAAAATGATGTCACGTGATGCACGCCGTTGCTATCTCGGGCCACGAGTTTTTTTGTTTTTTTTTTCGCCCGATGATTGTGTGCAGGGTATGCCTCTTAACTTGATCACACAAGCTAACACCATCCACAAGGCAATGCGATTAGGGGTTTGGATGCAACAGCAACCTCTCAAGAACCTGACAATGAATCACCGCACGGAGACTGGCTAGCCAGACGGAAATGTCAAATATGTCAGCTATGACGCGGGAGACGGGCTTGGAACGGCACTACCCGACTCCTGCCACAAAGTAATCAGGTGAAAAGTCCAGGAGGAAAGCACCTGGTTTTGGTCCAAGATTTGTGCCTATTTGGCGTTGAAATGGAGTAATAATTTTGGGGAAAAGCTTATGGACAGTACCCTCTTAGATGTGGTTGAACCAGACGTTGTTTTTCTTACTTTGACCTATAGTAAGCACAAAAATGTAAAAAAGTACAAAATTGTGTCATGCCATATAGGCCTACAAAGAAATTTCAGGAACCAAATTACTTTGTGCCTAAATATGAACATGATTACGTTGAAAGTAATCTAAGCGAAGTTACTTGCACAGAAACGATTCACTCACGGAGGAAGTTGTCATGGATAGAGTTTCACATGTTCAGTGTTTTAAAGCAGGGTGGCTTGTTGGACTTAATCAAATTCTCGGTTGGATCATTAACACGTCCTAATTGCGACACGTGGTATTTATTCTGCCGTGTATTGAGTGACATCTACATGACTATCCCAGCTCTGTATTCTGGTAAAAATAAACAGAAATGAAACGCAAGTCATAAGTGCAACTGTAATATCTTTATTCGCACAACTTCACGGCTCATTAGAAAACAAATACAGAGAACCCACCCATTATACAAATGGAATCACCAGATTACCACCAAAAGATAGTTAAACAATGATTAAATGATCAATTTCCTCAATTTTCATTGATACTGTCAATATCATTATTGCCATTAAAATGTTCAGAGTCCACATTACCTTCTCTAGCATCGATCATATCCCCATAAAAGACTAGATACATCAGATTTCACAATTAAAGGTGTACGATCAAATCGTGTTTTGAAGGAGCGTTTTAAATAGTTCATCAGTATTTTTACTGAAAAAACAAACAAACAAACAAACAAACAAACAAAAAGGATGGAATGGCTTAACGCCAAATTGACTACAACTTGCGACAAAATGGATCCGCGTTTTAAAATAGCATTCCTGGAATTACAAAATCTGCTCGCAAGATTACTTTCAAGAGGGAGACTATAGATATACATGCGTATAGATATAAATACAGCAAAGCAACAATGTCACAATATGTCATAGTTTGCAGGTGCAATATTTCTCAAAGCTTTTCTCCATGCAACGCAAGGACCACTTATATAAGAGTAGGAAAAAGCGACACGGAGACACCATAAAGAGCTACTACAAAAACTTGCAATGTAAATAAAGGTGGCAACAAGCCGAATTCAAGTCTAAACATATCAAAACGTCTCCCGGAATTAGGAATGACGTGATGAGATTACTTGTGAAAACTTTGCATGTGTTATCATTATCAAGAGTGAGACGTGGTGTGTGTCCACAATGACATAAATGACTTACTTTCCTTGATCGTATTGTGTTCAATTATTTGTGATTCGAATTGACTCGAGCTAAATACTTGACTCCACTCGAGTTATTTGCCTAATAGGCTTGAGTTACTACGTTACAATAGCTCGACTGGACCGAGTCCAAAAACACCAGTGAGTGACTCGCTACAACTCTGGAAAGAAATATTCGGTTATCCCTGTGCGCCGAGTCAGCCTACAACCTCATGCACGTATCGATCAAGCAGTGTTCCAGACGTATTCATCGATGATGACTGACAGAGACTTCCAGGCAGATGCTCATGCCTTTTCCTCCCTTTTTAGCGGTTTTTCTCTTAGCTGAGATGCCATGACGGCTGAACATTACCCTGGTTGTTCCCTGGTGTCTAAGGATGTCAAGTTAGTCTTTTGTGCCGGATTTGTTGTATTGCTGTGAGTCATTGGAGATGTTTCCAAGGGAGTTCATGGCTTTTTTTTTCATTTTTTTGTCCTTGCTGAGCAGCATCTCACCAAGCCTTTGACAATAGGCAGTGTAATCAGGATCGATGCAAACGCAGCCGAAATTATGTCACAAAGCCTTTCTCATCTCTAGATAAACCTAGAAACGTGGCTGCAAATACAGTGCTAAAGATGTGCTCGTACATCCGGGGATTCTTCCATTCCAAGAAACCTGCGTTGACCGAATACAATTATTGTTAATTAAACAAATCGTATGGGCAGATGAAATCGCACTAAGGTAAAGCAAAAAGTTGAGAATTTCAAACTGTTTACAGGGAGGGGAAGATACTGTGTTTGTCTGTGACATGGTGTCTAGGGGGGCTGCGTGGTGTAAGTAAGGGAAGGGAGACCCAAGGGTTAGCTCCTCCGCTTCCGGGACCTGTGGTCTTCAACTTCTTGTAGTCTCAGAGACCGCAAAAAAGAAGCCTTGTAGTTGAATTGTGCGGCGAAGCCCTTTGACTATCTCTGTGCAGAAAACAAGGACCCACAAGTGCCTCTGCCATTTCTACCCCTGAAAACCTTCTGGCGTTTACTTATAAATACCTGCTCTATTATTCAACCTATCCCGATGCAAGAATCTATGACAAGGAATGGACATTTATTTGCTCTTTTCCTTTGTGAAACCACGGAGCTCGGGGTAAACATTCTCAAAGATAAACATAACTGTTGAAGGGGGGACAATGTCTGTGACAGGTTGGAAGGAATTTTACGGAGGATTTCCTCTTTGAGTAAATGTTGATTCCCAACTCCGAGGAGATGGTAAAGCATTGTTGCTGTCTTCAAACAAATCAAAGCGGCCAGTGACACATGATGGAATTTGGCCGTTGCGGTCGGCGAGACCTTCCGGAAGGCTTTGTGTTGCCACCTTGAAGAGTACCGGCTTCGCAATAAAAAACTAGGAAACAAAAGGAACAAAGGGTCTGTTTTTACTAGAGGGGTCCACTTAAAAGTTATGTGTCCATGAAAAACCCATTCTTAAATAAATGGTTCCACTCCACCAGCTCTTGGTATGGAAGAAACTTTGAAGCAATATTCCTGCTATATATCTACTAAAACCTATATCTCCAAACGTAGCACAGGAGTGACTTATCTCTAATATTGCGAATTAGACGTTGTGTCAGCTGGAATGTAATGTAATCGTAGGTTTCCAGCCCTTCCAAATCTACTTTGCGGCTACCCAGATTACTTACTATGCTGCAACACCATTTAGCGCGGGAAATCTAAATGCATCTACACGCACGTGTATAGTCGTCTGAGAGGTCACTCCCCACAGTATTCGAATTCAACTTCCTGTCAGAGGCTTTGTTGCACATGGTATCATATTTTGTAACTTGATATTAGGAAAACGGCAAAATGACATATTGGTTACTTTAGACTTACTTCGTTTGGACCTGTGTGAAGCCCTGTCATTCCAATTTTCCAACATCAGCATTAGCTCATCGACGTTTGCACATGGACATGCTTTTAACAAAGTTTGCCATAACACTTTGATTTTGTATTGTTTTATGCCATGGATCATGGAACATTTAGGTGTGCCTACAGTAAAGTCATATCCGAGGAGGCACCTTCACTACAATCTTGCGTATGTCGTACGCACTCTTCAACTAATTACTTTGGGTGCACGTACATTTTGGGGCGCAAGCGTTAAGTTGTATATTTTCCGAGAATCCGAGAATTCCGAGCCGTATGTACATGTACTTTGTTTGAACAAATGTAAAAATCGAGCACAGTTGCAAGCCATAATGTGGATGATAGTAACATTTTCCCCCAATGTCCTTCATTCGCGTTAACAGTGATCGAACTGACAATGACCTGGTGGAAGCTACAGGAGTCGATGAAAGGTTGAGTACAGTTCCCACATATTTTTGCACATGACTAAAAGAAACTGCACCTCTAACATCAATACTTTGAGAAGTATGTGATTAACCGAACTCGATTAACAAAATTTGACAACCAGACCTCGAATCACAAGATTCTTGGATTATGTTAACTCTAGTTCTGCCAGATCCAAGAAGTTAACTTAAAGGTGGGCTTTTCATTCACTTACATTTACAAAGCAATTTTCTATGTGCGCACAATGTTTATAATTTTGTTTTAGATAACTAGTTGCTGCATGTTCTTTCTCTTTCCCCCAAGACACATAGGTTAGGGCGTCGACACTTTCTTATTGTAAAGGCAATTTTGTTAGCTGGGGAAGCAAGATGCCCATGAAGATTGATGAGCCACTTGAAACGGTGCCTTGAATAACAAGTGATAATACATGTCGTAACCTGGGCGAAATAATCCCAGGGTGACAGAAAACAAGACAATCTTCTCACACTAAGTTATCAACGGGATCTTCTGTCGATAACCCTCTGACTAATATTGTGAGCGTTAGGTGTCCTGGGGAAGATGGTATCTCATGTGTTTGGGTCTTGGATAGTAATGCTTACAGCGTGAATCACGGGGCATGTAAGATGATCTGCAAGACACCACACCACACTGTCAACAGATGCACAATTTGTAAACACCGATGAAGCCCCCAGTAATGGCAGAAACATGATAGCCTGTTACTAGTGCAGTACACACACAAAAAACCAAACTCAAAAACAACCCCCACACCAAAATGTTAAGGGCTACTGGCTAAGCCTACATGATGAAATAGCTGGCACACTGCCTTGGCTATACCAAGTGCTACACTCCACAAACAGACTGTTAAAACGACCACAAATGTTTCAAAACAATAATTGGTAGATGTGTGCCCGACCAATCGGTTGGCTACATACATTATCTATCAGTCTGTTTTCAGCGTGTATCCAAGTCTCCATTGACCACTACGTCCCCGTGTCAATCCCAAATTAAAGAATAAAGATTCATGTACAAGTTGTGTATACTGATGACTGAGCCAGGTTGCTGGTGATAGTTGTGACTGTTTGGGGAATAACACATGCACCTTTGGAAGCCAGATTCGTGAGTGTTACAGCCATTCCATATGCACGGGATATCCCCGTCGGCAGCCATTAGATCCTGGGGCGGCCCAACCACAATCCCATACAGGGTATACTGTATTTGAACACGTTATCACACTTGAAGTATGGTTTAATGCGGTTGACTTTCAAATTTAGTTTTGTAGTACAGGCACATGTATCGTTTCTTTTCGCACACGTTTGTATTAACGACTAATAATTATAAATACATGTACGGGTGGTTGGAGACTATGTTTGAGACTAGGTTTAAATGAAACGGGACTGTCCTATTGGAACCTGTTCAAAATAACATCTGTATTGCTACAATGGAGGAACGGTTTAAAGAGGAATTCGCTTTGTTTCTCATTGCATTGCGAGGAAACCCGCTGGGTTCCATTTTCACAGAAGAGCGATAACGGAATTCTGCACGATAGAAAAACCATTGGCAGCATTTTATGCGGGACACTGTTTTACCTCCATTGTATACGAAGAGTAGGTAAACCGCGCGATAGACCTTGGAACTGCTGTTTGGCAACCTCTTGCTGCTTTGTTAAAAGATACCGCGGGAAGACAGCGCACATTCTTTGCCAATCAGTCGTCTCGTCAGTCACGACGTCAACAACCGACTGAATGACGTACGTAACAACGCTTTCTGTTAACGTTCGTCTGTGAAATATATGTAAATGGGCACTAACGTTAACCTCAGGATGGTCACTTTTGTTACGGCAGAGTAAGCACACATAGTGGACGCTCGGCCAGTGGTACGAACTTGGGAGTACACTATATGTAATTGTATACAAAAGACCTAGTAACCGAGATGATGGGCCAATATCTACAATATACATCTACATGTACTAGTTTCAGGCCAGATCGACAGACACACTGTAATTAACCGTACTGGTTTACTCACTCCTCTTCAGGTCTTGTAGTTCGTTTGTTTTTTAAGTGGGAGTGGTACAATTAATTATACTAATGAGGCCAAACTCAGTGGCTGCATATCTTTTTGAAGTTGGTACATGTGTTATTACTACAAATATATGGAGCTATCAAACGGATGATGTGACAAATTCAAGCATTAGATCACAGCACAACACCTCAAAAGCCCTGTCACGCCCTAACTATACAATAATGGTCTTAAAACTGCAGTCTGCATGTTTCCAACTATAGGGCAGTTGGGGCGTAACGGCTCCCCCGCCCTCACCAGTGGAAGCTATATGCTTATACCATAATAAATAATAAGAACTGTTGGGAAACGGTAAAGGGCTACAGCTCTGGCCTCAAAAGGGACACCATCGCAATCTGCATACCCCCTCATGTCCTCTACCCCCTCTGTCAATGTTGTCATCTCCAGCTGGAACACAGTCCATGCTACATAAAAGGGGACCTATACAGTGTACCCGGCACGAAATGGGACGGAGGGGTACCTCCTCTAACAAGTCCAATCACCATACACACTCCAGCCTATTGTTACTTAACACATCTCCCCGAGATATCTGAAAAGAAATCCTGAGATACCAGTATAACAATGACCGACACAAAGGAGGGGGGGGTCTCTCTGCCCAATAGTTTGCATCAAATGTGGGGCGGGGGGTCGAAATTAGGCCAGGGTTCTAGTTTATATGTCATGCAACAGATGCATCAGTGCTTCCATGCGATGCAAAATATGGGGCGGAGAGAAGCCCCCCGCCTTTGTGTTGGTCATTGTTTGATCGGAATCTCAGGGGGATGTGTTAGGTAACAATAGTCTAGAGAGTGTATAGAGATTGGAGATGTGGGAGGGGGGTACCCATCGGCCCTATATCGTGCACGGTACTATCAGTGCTTATGGACTGAGATTGTCTAAAGAGGTGGATCACCGGGGTCCAGTTGTAGATTTCCTGTCTTGTTGGACCATGTGGGGTTTTGGCATCCCTGATCAGTAGTTGCGTGCAATCAACAAAGTTTACCCTACCCTCTATCTGCTCACTATGAGCTCACTGTGCCTGGGATCAGGAATTGCTGACATAATGAAACCATTCGTACAAAATTACACAGTGCTGTAATCCGAACATGACAAAACTGTTTAAAAAGGTGAACGTTTTGGCCAATTATAGTTTACTCTTTCCCATCCTTTGTACGCCAAAGGTGCAAGATGCCCTTTCAAACTTCTCAACATTTTTACGAAACCAGAGATATTGGGTTCTATATAGATTAACAGAAATAAACTTCATATTTTGTGTGTGTCATGACAATATTGCTACTTTTCTTTCTCCTTCCAGTGCCGACATTGGTGCCTTACGGGCTCGATATCAACTAAGGTATTGGAGACACCGTTATCCGATAAAGAGCAGGGTAGCCTTCTGTAAATACGGGGAGTACCGTCGTCGGGAGTGCTGTTATGGGTGGAGATACCACGGACCAGAATGCGCACGTAAGTACCCACTTGTTCTATTGTAGGAAATTTTGCCATGAGCCAAAGGGTTCCTGTGCCCGAAATAGAAGAGCCTTGCGGTCAGCCCCTTGCCCTTGGCCGGTGAAGCGGTCTGGCTTCCGCGGTCATGGATCAGGTGAACCTTGCTCCTTAAAATAGGAACCAACTAATAACCTCAAAATTGGGATTGGGGGCATTGGGAAGAACAAAAATGAGTCCATTTGCAGGAACAAGGAAATGCGATGCAACAGCTCATACCTGAAACTATCCTGGTCATATTCCGTGGCTGTTTGGCTGCATTATTATTCATCACTTTGTCAAAGGTACTTGTTTGGTAGCTTTGTTCGGATCTTGTTGGCTGAAGTTTACGTGTACAATGGCTTGAATTCATGGAGGGGTAGCACTTCCTCTTTTGCAAGTTAATGTAGAGGGTGTTGCTGAAACATGGGTAGATGCGAGTGAAACATGAACCTGTGTCCGATTCCCCGAGGGTAATGGTCGATCCTAGGCCCGGTCAAAAGCCTTACTTTCGTATCAGGTTAGGGCAATGTCATTTCCTCTCGTGTCAGGTGAGGTGTCTTCTCCTCCGGCCTACAGAATAATTCAACTTTTAGGGAAGCATTTACTTTTCCCTGTTGGAATGCCAGTGTTATCTCCATCACTGAAACTACTAGAAATCTACAATCACAACATTTAATTAGGGTCTCCGTTAAACACTTGTGGGAGGAAGCTCTTTGCGTGCGACATGACAGAACCCAAATGCTAGGATGGTTTTCCCAGACCGGTGTTTCTGATAGAGGCGTTGGCATTCTTTCAATCGCGTGGCGCACTGACCCAGGAAGTCAAGCCCACTGACCTAGATTCTTCCCGAGGACGTCAGATGGCGAATCAGTTAATGCCAACTTGGCGTGGCTCTGTGGAAATTTTGGCTTCGTCTTTTGGGGTTTAATGGTGAAACTTGAAAGGCCCTTGAAAAACGACCCCGCACGCGTTTAGTGAACGTATTAGTCCCAGCTTCATGTCCAAATCAAATTTCAAAAGCGGTTCAATCCAGGTGGAGAAGTTTTTGTTTAACTGCAACTATCCTAACTTTAATGTCAAAGTGTAAGGCGGTTCTCTGCATACTTAATGAATGGATAATTCCCTGTCAAACAATAACATCATGTAACGGCGTAGATCAGTCTAGGATATCAAATAAAAGGGGCAAGATTGCCAATTTCGTAGCCCATATTCCGCAGTGTTATGTATGTCGTCAACAGCGGGTGATGCTCATCGACTATTTCTAACTACCGGCACCGAATTTTATTTACTGTTATTATTATTTTTTTTAAAAATAAATTCCCACACTGGGTCTCTAGAAGATTAATCAAATCAAACGTTGCATGGGATATAAGATTTATGGATTTAATGATTGAGGTAAGTGGTGGGATGTCGTGTTATCTATGGAGATCTCGGCAAAATTCAGATGCGGAGGAAACTTCACACTCTGTGAAGTGTCCAATCTTCTCAAATTAGACCTCAGATTTCGTGATGTTGATGGCATCCAACACTCTAACCGGCTAGACACTGCATGGCCGTCATCGCCTATGACCGCCTCGGCGCACTTCCTAAAGTAATTACACGGCCGCTGCTTGGAGCACCAGAAACATATTGGGGTGCCACCCTGGATCCATTGACTCGAACGGGGCGGAGAGGAGGTGACGAATACCACGACGCTTCCTCCACAAGCTTTCCTCCCTAGTCTAGACCGCCTGCCTATCTTTAGCAGGTGTGTGGAGGGCAACCCGCCGCGCGCTAACACAGGGATATAATCGGCATATTCGTTTCAGGATGAACCTGATCCGTTTCGGGACCAGATGTTATCCACTACGCTGAATGGTTTTTTGGCTTTTCTCGAATTAGCATCCAAAGAAAACAATTCGGAGACTTGACCGTCGCGAGAGTGAATTGATACTGCAGCAATTTCCTCATTTGATTCTGAGACAGACGTCTGTAACCCGACCCGAAATATCTCCTTGGATTTTGCATTGCATGTGGTTTCGAAGGAGAGTGTTATTTTCGGATGACAATCCACTATTATTTTTAGACGAGGTTCGGTGCCCATGTTGATGGGAAAATCGTACAGGGGCGTCCGCAGTTAATACCATGGTTTTTATTTCCGGCAGAGCCTTATTTTTGGCTCCGACCAAGGAAAGCAAAATCGTTTTGTATGCCATATCTGGAATTTCCAATCAAGATTAACGACAATCTTAAGAATGGGGGGGGACAAGTAAGAACATTTGTTTACTTGAATTCGAACCAACCAACCCTCCCTGAAGGTCAAAAAAATCTACGAACTAGCAAATTAACCACAGACGCCCTAGTATTTATGTATCTCGATACCTTCGTCATTGATCTCTGTATTTCAGAGTGGTTCATAATCTTTGTTTACAGGCAAATCACCGACCGGAAAACTTAAGGATATCGATTTCAGGGAGGAATTCTCAGATTTTATACATGGCAACAACGACAATGGGGGTTCCGGGGGTTTGACGTCGTGTTCAGGACCCGGTCCCGCTCCATCCATATAGCAAGGCCTTGCTCTATGCTCAATCCAGCTCAGCCCACGGTACAACCTCCGATTTCTCCATATAGGTAGCGTCTTTGCCTCGCTCTTCGTGTTAATGCCAAGCCGGAGGTAGCTATCAACTAGCCAGTTTTCAAGCTCTCCCAAGATCAGAGATTCAGAGAGACGCTAAAACCTTGCCCGTGTGCGCCCAATTGTCCATGATGTGTCGGTTTTAATGACACACCGATATCTTTGTAGGTCATAGACTTTTCGTAGGCCTCTAATTTTTCGTTAGCCCCAGGCAATTAGTACCCATTTCTGGATAATCCAATCCTGTCGATGTTGACTCACTCGCACAGTAAAGATACCATGCGGAAATACTTTCACACTGCACATGATTTTCTTGTTAAACTTCCTGCCGGGGCAGTTATCAATGTTGATGATGCTGGGCCAGGATATTTATCATTTTTTTCTGGTTTCAAAATTCTTTAAAAATTCCTATCTTCATTTACTGGACACTTACAAACACGTGAAGGACTGTCTGGTGTCCACTCTAGCCTGACAGACAAAATCTATTGACGCCTGAGTATTTCAGGCAGGCCCACAGCCTTGCAAAAAAGAGCCCAGATTGGGCGCTGTTATATAACTGTCTTTTGTTCACGAACCGGGCTCAGTGCGCTGCTGACCTCTTTTCAATAGGGGCCAGATTAGCATGCAGTGGTGCTGTGCGGCTCATCGCTGCAGTAGTGGAGTGCTTTTATCCCCTGTGGTAATCCACTCGCTCTAAATGCCTCAAACTGTGGTATACCGTTTCAAAACAAGGCTGGATTATCTCCACATTTCAGAGTGAAAAAATGTCGGTAATGCCCAGCAGCGTGGTCTTTTGTTCCAAGTGCGGTCTTTTGTTACAAGGCCCTGTTCCCCTTGTCCGAGTTCGGAGACCCCGACCACGCATATAAAGCATACATGTCCGGATCCGGAATCCCCGGCAGAAGTTGGTTAACATTTGGTATTTTTTGGTTGAAGATGATGCCAGGTTTGGGTACTGAGCCTTCAACCAACTTGAATTTATTTCATGGGTCAGGATGGGAGGTGGGAGGTTGAGATTTAAGCACGGATCCTCTTTACTATACCCAGCTCTTGTCGGTGCAATATCCGTTTGGATTACTGAAGATTATGCCTCGTGATCATGAGTCTAATCGCCACATTAATAAGAGTTCCAGATGGGGCATGGCGGGAGAAGTTGAGATATCCCGTCTGGTCTTCACACTTCAAGTGATCAACAATTTCCAGGACACGGTCCCAACGTGTAAGCCCCCCGGTAATGTTTCTCATGTTTTCCCTTGAAAAATCCTCTCACATATGTGTGTCACCTGTTTTAATGAGACTTCCACGTTCTGGAGCAGTATAGCTCCTTTCCTGTGGTTTAATTTTGCGGATGTTATTTCGGTGACTTCTCAACCTTGTTTCAAGGTTCCGGCTTCCTTATTGATCATGACACTTGTTGCTGCTGGAAATAAGGCTATGATAACAAGATCCCAAGGAGAATTGGGATATAAGTTAACGAGAACATCACAATTTCAAATATAGGCCTATGTCATGCACGTGTACGTCTGGGTAGTCAAATCAGAGCAAAGACAGCAGACAATGTTTTTCCCGTAGATCCAAGCTCTGTGATAGAAAAAAATAATCAGAACAAGGACACCAAACTATTTCCTACTGGCGTCCTACATTTCCGAACAACCTGTTGAATCCGTCATTGACTACACTTTTTGTTACGCAGAGAAATAGGCATACACCGCTACGGCTGTGAATCGTAGTAACACCGTTTGTGAGCAAAACCGGATCCGCTGCCACTAAAAACCCGATTCGCTCACCGCCTAAGTGTCAAAAATTGCCCACTACCAAGGACTTCTGGAGTTGCGTCCAAGAGAGTGCGCAACTGATCCATATTGGGGACCAACAAAATCCTTGGGAGTGAAGTACATGTAGATGTACATCCGAAATGTTGGAGGTGGGGTAGACGCTCTGTGTGCTCCTCCCCACACTCAAGGGAGTGGGTTGTTGGTGTGTATGTTGAGGTATGGAGACCACAGAACCTCATCAGCGTTACACGCTCGACCGCCCGGGAGTCAAACTACGATTACGATGACAAAAACAGCCGAAAAGACCGAGAAGTAATGGAGGAAAATCAGATCCCAACCCTACTGTCGTGTCAAGGTTAGAGCGGGGGGGGGGACGGAATCAGGAAAATACTTATTAATATTCTTGACATATTGTTTCCATTTTGTTCATCCGTATACCTCTTCCCTCCTCCGAAGTTACTAAACCAAATTTAAAGTGTTCGATCTTTCATTTCCTGAATGAACGCAACATACATCCCCCAGGGGAATCAACGGGGAAACCTGCCCCCCCCCCCCCCGCTTAATTCGCCTCTGTTCAACCTCAGATGAGTTTTGATGAAAATATTCTGGCCATGAACACTCCCAGGAATGTAGTACGTGTTCAGTGCATATACCGGTACTTCAATAAAGTAATTAACGCATGCGTGTGGATAAACTAGGTGAATCGCGCAGAGGTAAAACACCGAGACGTGAGGAGCGCCTCGAATGCACAAGGACGGGTGACAAGTTCATTCAATGCGGCCCTCGCGAATTGGTTTTTCAGGTTCAAGGGGGCAAGTGGCCCAGAGGATGTCGAAGGTTTGTGGGGGTGAACACCTTTTGGTAAACCCATTGTCAAAGACGGGCCAGGGGGTGAACCCAGCTGTTCCTCGTGCGGTAAGCACCATCGATATATCGATATTATCGATATGGGTTTGATATCGACATCGCCGATATTAGTTATTTGGTAATATCTTTAAATCAAAAATATCGGATTTTCTATAAATATAAAAAAGCGAAACTTTGAAAACATATCGTTGTTGAAACATGTACCGGAAATATCGCTAATCAGGAACGAATTTTATCAAAAGTACGAAAGTGCATCGTCACATTACGTTTCCGATAAGCCACGGCTCACATGTACGTTGGTTCTCATGCTAATGTCGTTTACCTTTTAGTTTACACACAACTGCACATGTACGTGTGGCACATTCACATCTGTACTCTGTAGTGTCATATGGACGTAGCCTAAATACAACCGCTAAGAACTTTGGCATTACCGGGCACAGTGCACGTACATGTAAAATGTACATGTACATGTACTATGCAGATCACTTTTATGTAGTCAACTTTACTTCTTGAAGACAAGCACACAACCCCCATCGAGCGCACGTGCGTATGTGTTGTATACTGCCGTTGCGTCGTCAGACTATGTTTATGTACATGTACATTGGACAGTTCGGATACATACACTCACTGTACATGTACTGTACAGTACACGAGTACATGTGCATGTATAGATGTACTACTCTACGTTTACCGTATCGTGTGTTTACATGGCCGAGTTTTTAACAGCTAGTCAGGTACATATATACTTGCAGGGTAATATATAGTTACTATGTTCTACTCTCTTTAATTTTCTTACATAAGCTAATGGTGCATGTAACTTTTTGGAAGTACACGTAAACTTGTTTAATTGCATGCACTCGTGGTGCGCGTAGAATATTTTTTTTTCTGATTTTGAAGCCTGGTTGCAGTTGGTATTCTCTATTGCCGTTGGTCTGCTAACCCCCCTTATTTGCATAATCATAAATATGCATTGTCACCCTAAAGGAACATAATTCATTGATAATATCTCAAATAACAATGATTGATTGGACAAAATTTAAGAAAGATAGTGCAAAACCACTAACGATGACAATCTGTTGCACTAACCGGGACATTTTGGTGAAAAAATGAAGTTCACTTTTGTAGTTGTGACTAGAAAGGTGTACTGTAGGATATAGAGTCCAAAACAGCAGATCATGTGAGATCTGTTAGTTAAAGTAAAAATTAAAATGATAATGTCGAAAAAAAAAACGATATATCGATACCGGCAAAGATAAAATATCCACGGTGCCTACTCGCAGTCGTGCGACGCTGGAAGGCTACCCTGGAAAATACCGGACGTCTGAAACCTTCAACTTTTTTCGTGGGATCGTTATCTCTTCAGTGTTCCAGAAATGTGGCAAACTAAGTAGGCCTAACCGATCGTCAATTTATTGGGTCGGGAAGGAGTGAGGAGGATATGCAGACTTGTGAAGATTATTAAACGGCGTTTGCCTTGTTCCACATTTTTGCTAAACCCGACTGACCCTTGTTGAACTTAAATATCTGCTCCGATTCGATTCTTGCCAATAGAAAACCTCTCTGACCAAGCAAAGAGCCGCAAAAGATATACATCTGTGTCTTTCCTTTCTTCCCTAAAAGCTATCACTTTGTTCTTATCTTCCAGCGATCTGTGAGGATGGATGCAACCATGGCACCTGTGTCGGCCCAAATCGCTGTCAGTGTGATAAAGGCTACACGGGCCCGACGTGCGATCGAGGTAAAGTTTCCCTGCCTTTCATGGTGCATGATTTTGTCATTTGTCATATTTACTGTCCTCGCCTTTTCCTTCCCTGTGGTTGGATGGGTGGTTGAGTTAGATTTTGCTCTCAAACGGAAAGATCCCCGATTGACCGAGGGTCCTCGACTGTGATAATAGTGTAATAAAACACATCGGAAGTCTTCCTAAAAAGGTAGAGTATGAACAAAAGGGGAACATGTGTCCGAAAAAAACTTGTCAGATCTACTCTACATGAACTTCAAATTTGGTTCGTGGATTGCTCTTGGTATTAATCCCAAGAAACCTATTGCATTTAGGCCAAATAGTCAAGGGTCAGGGTCAAAGTGGGTGAAACAATAATGTTGCCCGGTGCAATTTCACTCGAGAAACAGTTTCCACATTGTAGCGAAAAGTGAGGCCCCGTTCACAAAATGGTACGGTCCGGTGGGGCATGTGTGGGGTTTGTCAACACACCTGACTTACTCTCTCAAGATTCAAGTGCACCTGCCTGCCTGCCTTCCTTTCCGTGTGCATTTACCGGCATACCATGGAGCCGTGTGAACATAAATGTAATCCCTGAGGAGGGGGTGGGGATATATTTGTCGGTGATGGGCCATTGATACTTAATACGCTTCTTTCCAAAAAAAAAAAAGAAAAAAAAGTACGAGTCTTTGTGTAACCGGATGTCCGTCTCAACACGCCCCTCGATTTCGAACTTCCAAAGCCAGGCAGCATTAGGATTTTTAGTCATCTCCTGTTCCCTACTCGCCAGCAAAGAATGAGTTAACGCCACTGAGCGTGATACTGAGATTAGTATTAGTGTAGAGCGCAAGCCTTTCTCTGCAGTGTGCTCCCAGAATAGACTTACCCGGATTTACTCCATCCTCTCTCCCGATGGGTCATTATAGAGTAAAAGGTTATACCCAGGGCCCCAATCCCGTACCATGTTGAAGACAGAGCTGAGAGTGATCTGTCAGTATGCCCATAACAGTCTGAAATGCTGAACATTACAATTCAAAGCAGAAACCACGTATTGTTACAGTGTCATTTAAAACTGTCTAGAACCAAGCGCAGCGTCGTTGTCCAACGTTGATGTTGGAGCTTAAAAGTACGAATGTATCAGCATTCGCCAGCGACACGTATCTGCCTTGAGACTGTATACCCAGCAAGAAGCGAGACCGAGGGGTACCCCCCCCCCAACATGTCCAATCCCTATACACATTCCAG